CGACGTCGTCCCATAGCCTTCTGCTATAGCTTTCTGCCCTCTCCGACAGCCGTTGCCCCTCCCTCTTCTTTCAATCGACGTCGTCCCATAGCCTTATGTTATAGCTTTCTACCCTCTCCGACAACCGTTGCCCTTCCCTCTTCTTTCAATCAACGTCGTCCCATAGCCTTCTGTTATAGCTTTCTACCCTCTCCGACAACCGTTGCCCCTCCCTCTTCCTTCAATCACCGTCGTCCCATATCCTCCTGCCGTTGTAGCTTTCTGCCCTCTCCGCATTTGATATTTAATATTTATTTTTTATTGCATAAATTAATTTTTTCTATTAAAAAAACGAGATTTGGAAACATCTTCAATTTGATATTTGAATTTTTTTATTTAAAAAACGAGATTTGGAAAGAAAAATAGATTTTATTGCATTAATTTTTTTTTATTAATTTTTGAAAAAAATTAATTTTAGTTAATTTTATATAATAAATTTGCAATTTTAAAATATGACGTGGATTTAAAATAAAAAATTAAGATGACGTGGAATATCTTAGTTGACAAAAAATCTTGATGATGTCAGCATTAACAGGTCAACCAGACCCTTAAATAAACAAAAGGTTTGATAGAGATCCCTAAATGAAGATTTTAGAAGTTGGTTCCATTTTAATGCAATTTTCTCTAATAATAATAATAAAATATACTTTTTATGAAATATTAATAATAAAATTTAGAGCCGATTATAGATGACTGAGCCGTTTACTGAACGCTTACCCGATAAGTGCTTACTTCCTTACCTGATGAACATGACAATAGTAAAAAATCTTGTCCGGTAACAGCAATGATAAAGATGAAGAGTCTTACTCGGTAAGTGAGAGTAACGACTCTTACCCGGATAAGCGTTTACCGGGTAAATTGTTGTATACAATACCATTTTGATTAACCTGGATATCCAACCCGTTATGCGAGCCGACTAATCTCAGGACGACCACCTGCTTTGCAGATAGACCGAAGTCACCGCATTTAAATCTTCGTGGCCACAAGGGGATTTTTATTCCTCCTTGGATTTAAACCTGAGACCTCCTGATACTTTTGACCTTTGGAGCCAAACTTAAACCAATAAGGCACCACCCTTGTTTTGATATACTATAATCTTATCCAGTAAAACAAATTACAATGTTGACTTCTAATAATAAACGCTTATCGAGTAATCATTTTGGTAAACGGCCCCTAATTTTCAAAATACAATTTATAATTGGATGGGTTTAAATCTTTAATTTGTTTTATTTATAAAACAAATATTAAAACCAAACATACAAACATTAGAAGTGGAAACTTGTGAGTTATGCATGTTGAGAGGACAGATGTTGATTTGTGAGTGGTTCGTGTTGCATCTTCGCTGGACCAATAGCGGTTTATTTAGTGTTACTTACGGCGCCCACCGTATCGTGGGACCTCCTCACATTACAAAAATCCATCCATCTCAATCTATTATTGGATAAAAGATGCTTTCTCTTTCTATTTAATTAATATTATTTATTAATAATTTTATAATTTGTAATAGTTGTTATCAACTCATATTAATATATTTTGATTTGGAATTTTGTAAAAAAAAAAAAAAAAACCAGTGACGGTCCCAAGATTTTTGTCAAGGGATGAATCAAAGACTTGCGTAATTGTATGATTTGTTATAGTTGAATGTCATCGTTTCAAGAAAAAAATTGTTCGGTCGATTTTAAGAGGTTTTTTCAGTTGTTTTAAAAGACTTTTTCAGTTTTTAATTGGTATCTTTAGGTTTTTTTTGTTGATGTCTTGTATTTTCCTGGTATCTGAAAGTACCCCTTAAAAAATTATATGATAGTTTAAAATCCAATATATTTAAACGACTCCACAAATGTGTTTGATTTACACCAAGAGCGAAGAATCAAGAGATCGAGAGCGAGATCGGGAGTTTTAGAGCAATTGAATAAGAGATGAATTGGAGAACTTTTAATAACTTATGGTGAATATCAGTTTGAATCTCACCTTGGGGGATGGAGAGAAGACATAGAGGTATGAGAGGGTGAAGACATAAGTGAAATATGTCAAAAGTATTTTGGGAACATGAAAAGAAAATGTAATAATATGCATTAGTAACTTATACTATATGTTATTTTAATTGTAGATTAAGAGATTTTAAGACTAAATGCATAAAGTAGTAGTACCTAATACATTATAAGTTGTTTTTAAGTCTTTTAAAACTTTGTGCATAAATGTATAGTACTTTGTGCATTAAAAATTGTTTTTAAGACTTTTGATAAATCTGGTTTATAAGGTAGTATAGATAAAGTTACCGTGAAACCTCTAAATATAATTTTATATCCTATGAAGGCATATAAAAATAACCGTCTTTACAATATGTAGAGAGTTGAGTTCCGGTGAAACTGGAAGTTACAGTGAAAAAGGAAAGAATGAATCTCCACAGATCAATTCTAATTGAGATCAACAGTAATGAAATGCACCGAGATATACTGGATCAATTCTAGCATAATTCCTTCTGTGAGGGTAAGACTAAAAGTGATCAAGGGTCCAAATCCTCTCATCCGTTTCTCATCTTAACTCCTATTCTCACATAATTCTTCATCATGTAAATTAACCTTCCAATACAAATTTGAAGGACATGTAATGCTTAGCACCATCACAAAATACAACATATAACCACAATGGTGCTGTCTGATTGGTTTGAGCTTGGCTCCAAAGGTCAAAAGTACCAGGAGGTCCCAAGTTCAAATCCAAGGAGGAATAAAGATCCCCTTGTGGCCACGGAGGTTCAAATGCGGTGATTCTGGGCCATCTGCAAAGCAGGTGGTCGCCTGAGATTAGTCGGCTTCGCATAGCGGGTTGGATATCCAGATTAATAAAAAAAAAAATACAACATATCAATCATATACTATAAGAGTATCTTCACATTTCTTACATTCTCACAAATACAAAAACTTCTTATATGATCCCAAATCTTATTAACAATCCAGTGTAAAAATATAACAACTGATTCAATAACCAAATATATAAAACTTGCTGAACAAATTCAAAGTGAGCAATTTTGAATAAATGTTACCAAATAAACCCAAAAAAATGTTTGAAATCTTATAAATACAATACGTATTTGGTCTCTCCCCTCAGCCATATGTTTCATGAAATTAGTCGAGTGACATGCAAATTGGTCTAGACACCAATTTTTTTAAGAAGGGTGTTCTAGACTAATCCCAATAAATTGTGATTGCAAGAAATCAGTCATGATAACTCAATGACCAAGATTATGGTATACGCCTGAAATCAAAACTGAAACAGATTAGATATTTTATCATATCTTTTAAATACTCAAATCATTAAATATCATCATATATTATTATAGAAATTTTCACCCCTTTGTGCTACCAAAAGTTAGAAAACGTAGATCCCAATTAATTGTAGACACACTTACATTAATTATTGCTTTTTTTTATTTATGTTGTGGAGATGTCATTTTCTGAGTGGTTGACAAAATTATACATTAAAATATGTAATTGGAGTATTAAATTGTGTATCGGTTAACCAACGGTATCTTATGTCGTGTTAGTTACGGCGCCCACCCTATGATGCATGCAACCTGGTCACATACAAACAAAACCTTAAATACTAATCCAACTCACTATTTTGTTATATTAATACAACTTAATATTTTTTTTAAAATTAATATAATAAATATTGAATTTTTTTTTTCTATTTCATATCATTTCGTATGAAAAAACCTACATATTTTGACATTTTTTTTCAGTATTTGAGAATTACAATATAACTTAACATTTTGACTTCATGTCATCAGTAGTTACATGATCTACCGGTTACTGGTAAAAACCCGTGTGAAATAGAAAAAACTGAACATTTATTACACTGACTAAGAAAAAAATATATTACAATTACCCTAAATAAAATATTTAAGACAAATTTTGTTGCATTTTAACCTTAATTTATAACCTAACTGAACTATATGCATGATTTATGATCTAACAAAACCGAATTGCGTACTTGATTATTCGTTCCATGCATCGCCATCGTGACTTCATCAAGGTTCAAAAAGTCTCGTAACGATGTTTAATGCTTGAAATCAAAATAATCGCTTTAACGTTCAATAGTTCCACAAAACCCCTCAAATGGATTACCCACATGCAGTCCTCATCCCTCAAGCCCGATGAATATTCTTGAACTACACCTTGTGGGTCCCGAAGGGACAAAGGAGAGTGGTAGGCTGTTTGACAATTGTTGAATGGTTTGGTGCAGAATGATTAAGTGGTCAGAATAGTTAAGAGACTCATGATATAATACAAAATGAAATATAATTGTTTGGTAATTGTGTACAATGAAATTAAGGCTCTTAATGGTTAAGGGAGATCCATGATACAAAATCATTCAGAGGGTTTTAGAACTATTAAGAGACAGACTTCTTTTTGCTAAACAAGATTCACCTCTTAACGATTCAGAGGTTGTCTCTTAATAGAACTATTAAGAGGTTAACAAACAACCCATGAGCTAACTTCAAAAACCCATCTTCAGTAGGATTACACTAGTAATCTTAGTAGATTCAACGAAATGCATAGAAAAGCGCACATCTATAGCCCGATGTGACCAAAATTTTGGTTCGCTTGAAAAAGCTCAGTTAAGCCCAAGAACCCCCGTAAAAATAACCAATCAAAACCCTTACACAGGCTTGTATTTTTGCTAAATAAAAACGGATTTGCAAGGCCCAGGCTTTATGCATTTTTTTTTTTAACCTGGATATCCAACCCGCTATGCAAGCCGACTAATCCCAGGGTTACCACCTGCTTTGCAGATAGCCCGGAGTCACCGCATTTGAACCTTAGTGGCCACAAGAGAATTTTTATTCCTCATTGAATTTGGACTTGGAACCTCTTGATATTTTTAACCTTTGGAGCCAAGCTCACCCCAATCAGACACCACCCTTTGGTTGACTTTATGCATATTTGAATTCAACAGCTCAAGCTATGGCCAATTAACACTTGTTATAATGCACTAGAAGCCTCTCATAAAGGATTTATACATATATACATATACATATTCATGCAACTTTTCATAACAAATACATCATAATGAACAAATATAAACCAAAAATGGGTTTAATTGGTTGTACCAATCCCATCTAACACATCCAGCATATTAGCATTTGCATACTTCAGATCTCTCCTTGGTGAGCTCCCCATGCTTCTACTTGATGCAAATATCTCAGCTCTCCTCTTCTTCTTCACCATCACAAATTCTTGACTTTTGCTCACTCCCGGAACCAATGTTCTCCGTTTCGGAACTTCTTCCAGAAGATTCTTGTCCTCCGAAGAAATCTCTATCCTTTTGTGTTTACCATTGGAGTGCAGATTTAACGTCTTTGAAGTTGGAGGAGATCGAGAAGGTGTGTATTTGGGTATGTTGTCTCTATATCGCACCAGGCTAATCAGACGGTGAAGCCAGATGATCAAGTCGAGAATATATCGATCCATCTTTTGTTTATCGGCATGATACAGTGTTTGCAGCCGAATAATGTTGTTACTACCTGCTGTCTTTTTCCCAAACTCGTTTCTGCAAAGACATGAACTCTTTTCAGTTACGTCCATCGACATCTCATTCAAATTGCAACGTTTGAATATCAACCGTCTTAAAGCTATGTTTCGCAAACTAATATAAGATGATAAGCAAGCCGATAAACTAGAACATGTTTGGTAACACTAGATGAAACGCTAGACGGCAATGTAAAATGACCTACAAGAACATTTTGAATAATTAACTGGATAAACATTAGGGAATAATTGAGAAAAATGAAGTGAAAATCGCCTGAAAATTATTGAAACACTCCTTGAAGTAGTTTCTCAAAAAGCTAGTAGTATATGCTAACCAAACGAGGCTTTTTCAATAAGTTAGCTTATAGTTGCCAAACATGGCCTAAATAATATTCAACAACGGCAAAATAACAGAACTTTTACGGGTCCAAGTCGATCAAAATGGTCACTTACCCAGTGTTTGCCCACTCTCCGACCCACCCGAAACCTTGATGAGCTCTGCAGGCACAAGAAAACAAGCAGCGTGAAGCATCAGTAACTTGAAGAAGATTGTATGCAACATTGGTGTACGAGACGAATATCCGGAAGCGTACTTGGTGGTATCGGTAGCTACAGGAACGAGCCAATGAAGAATTTTTTCCATCTCCGCTTTAATTTGAGGCATTGTCATCTGAACCAAACCACAACACGTTAAGTAGAACTTTATAATTACATTACAACACACATTCAACGAAGATATATATAGTTTGAAGTATATGAATCTTTACATAATGCAAAACTCGCACACACTCCTAATCTTTGGTGATGCTTATATCCGGTAACCCGGGTACCAGTAGGCCAATGGCTTGGTTCAAAGCAAATATATATACTCCATACGAGAGACTACTTACCACTTCTTTGGAATCAAGAGCTTGTACGCGAGAACGTAAACCAGCCCTCACACTGGCTGGTAAACCGTTGTATAATGTGTCCCTCATATTAGGAGGCAAGGAGGTAGGACGAGATGCCTGCAAAAAGTTATCGAACCCCATATATTCATCAAACAACCAATAACTATGAGAATAATAAACAAAATAAACCTTGAAGGGTAGCTCAACCGGTAAGACTTCGGTTTGCTATTCAGAGCCCAGAGGTCACAAGTTCAAGTACCCTCAGACCATGGGAGGGTATGCTGGCTGTTAACTTCAGTGCCTCATGGGATTAGTCGAGGTGCGTGCAAGCTGGCCTGGACATCCTTCCGGCTACCAAAAAGAGGCTAAACTAAATAGAAAGCGGCTTACAATGTTGTCCATTTGAGTGATTAAGTTGGCATAGTGTAAAGCAAGACCAGCGACGCCTAGTCTTTCACGTTTCTTATTAGGATCCTTGCCATTCATTGTTGAACTTGTAGCTGAAACAGGCAATGTAAACGACGCAAGTCAGAAAATGATAGCACACACGGAATCTAACTCKAATTCCTAAAACGTTCTTTTTTGTGCGTGTTTATGGACATTTAACTTGATGAGATTGCATTTATAACATCCTGAAAACATTCATACTAAATTGTATTGCAATACCGTTCTCTTCAAAAGCCTCGGCTATTGCTTGATGAATGAAGGTGACAACATCTACAAGTTTCTCCACAACCTACTAACGGGAAATGCAAAATGAAAAAGTCGTCACACGTCAAAGCATAGATAAGAATAGCCAAATTATTGAACCCCGAAAGAGAAGGGGAAAGGTCGATGGTAAGTTATATTAGTTTGTACCTCCTCCAAACTTTTGGACCAAAGAGATTTCTTTTTCAAGTTCCTCACAAGTTTTCTTTGATGCTTTAGCTCACTTTGTAATATCATCAAACTCTCTCCTATCAAGGATACAAGAATCAAATGTTAATTAAATAACCGAACCCCACAAAAATAACAACTAGAAAAAATTATCCAAAGTAAATATGCATAGATAAACAATACAAGACTTCCATGACGGCTAACCTTTTCGAGGAAGATGCAAAGATTCAACTTCCTCAAGCTTACGCCGATAATCTTGTTCAAATCTGTCCAAAGCATGATACTCATGGTACAATTCCTGCATAAACATTTTGTTTAGCATCATGAACACAATCTGTAGCTTATATCTGGCCAAAAACGGCTGAAATGAATAAATAAGAAATATATAACGTGAAGAAAGTGTCCAATCTTAAACCAATTTCTTGAAACATGCACATACAATTGAAAGAGCAGAAACTATTCAGATACAAATTCATACCAGATGTAACCATAGGAAAAACACTCGAAAAAGAAAAGGGTAGATTATATATAGGGTACTTTACCATTAACATTAAGTCAAATTTTGCAAAGAATAACAATTCTGCAACAAGACAACGAAGTTGGATGGTTTTTATAACATTATTTTAGAGTTGGGTTGTCCTCCTGACACCGAATAAGGTAGAATAAACTTTAATCCCATTTTTCTTTGTAATCTTGGATATAACTGATTGTGTTTGAGGCACCACGAAACTAAGTCATGAAAGAGAAGAGCCTTGATACATTGTATCATATACATAAAGAACAGGAAGCTGACTGATGACAAAGAAACATATACACAAGATGAGAAGAATATGATACAAAAAGTGACTTACAGAAGTATGCTGAGCCAGATTTGCAAGTTCTTGCATTGTAATTTCAGCCTCCTCTCTAAGTTGTTTGTTTGTTACAGGATCCAGATCCAATCTGATTCATATAGACATTTCAGAAACATGTTTTGGTATCAAGAAATAAGATGTTGGCTATCATGCTACTTGAAAAACTTAACTTTTACCTGACGAAGAAACGATCCAGATTATGCCATTGTGGATCCTTGCACATATCTCCAAATCTCACCACCTCTCTCGAGAAAATTTCAAATTCCTCTCTACGATAAGGACAAACCATACTATGTAATGAGCGCAAAAATGCTTTCAACAGGAAACACTGGCATAAAAACTCAAACCAATGTGCACCCTAACTTGACCCATTCCCTTTTCAGCTACGTTTTTTTCTTTGTTAGCAGTAAAATATAACCTAAATTGACCCATTTTCACAAAGATGGGTCCAAAAATGTGCCCTCTTTAATGGCAACCAATGTTTTGTAAGAATGAAATTACCTCTTGTCAGCAGCTGCAATACATAATAACTCCTTCATATCCGTAGAAACCAACAACTGCACCCCTTCTGAATGCAAAATCTCCTTTTTAAGGATCTGGATGTTTTCTTCCGAAAGGGATTGCATCAAATTGGAACCCTTGACAATAGTATTAGCTACTTCAAATGCCAAAATAGATACTTTATTCCCCCTTAAAGCCGTATTAGATACAAATCCACTGTGAGAATTCAAATTTGACATACTGCTTCCAAGAGTGTCCAAGACCTCAAGACCTACGCTACCAGCTTTACCAAGAAACGTGCTTACATGAGGTGCCTACCAAAATGCAAGACGAAGAACTACATTAGTACAATAGCATACTCAAATAGGTAGCAATTGGATATTATTAGAAGAAATCAAGAGAGAGAGATGACCCACTCTACTCTTAGGGGTAGACATCAAGTCTGCATACATCTTACCATCTCCAAACCACACCTTAGATGGGATATATTGGGTTCATTTAGTTCGGTTTTGGTTTAAGAGAGAGAAAAAAAGGAAACAAGAATAAAAAAAGACATTTTACGTATAAATCTTATGTAGGTTGCTTACTTTCCTGAACGAGACTCATGTATTTCAACTAGGATCCCTTTATACCATCCTATATGTGCTTGTGAGTGTATAGAAACTCACATATATATCTTGATAAGCAGACATTACCACATAGACATTTAGGATTGATATCAAGAACATTCTAATATGATGATGATTAAGATCCAACTACTTGTCTATATCAATATAAAGATGTGAATTTTGAGTCCCACTAATCTCACCCACATATGATAATAATAATAATAATAATAATAATAATAATAACAATAAGGGGGTGTTTCCCTGTTTGGATGAGCATTTGTTTATCTAATGAGTTTCTAGTGTACTGGCAACTTACTTGTCTTCATGATTATTTATGAGTTAAATAACAAGTTTTGACAAAGTAACAAGTAGGTACATTTAGTTTGCTACCCTAGTCCTCCTTCTCCAAGTACTCCTATTACACGTCATGTCCTCAGTGATGTCTAAAGTCACCACGTCCATCCACAATTGCTCACCACATGTCCTCCTCGGCCTCCCCTCCTCACCCTTTCGACCATCACTCTTTCTACTCTCTCACCAATGCCCGTCATTGGTCGCCTACAAACGTGCCTAAACCATTGCAATCTCCCCTCTCTCAATTTATCCATTATTGGGGGTAACTCCAAACTTTGCTCGGAAAACCTCATTCAGAATCATGTCTAGCATGGTCCGACCATATGTCCACTTAAGCATCCTCATTTCCGCAACTTCCAACTTTCAAAACATCCACATCACATCTAAACAACATATATGGCGTATACTTACTCAAATAGCACCTAATCACTTTCAAATCGAACATCCACGCACCCCACCCTAAATAATCGAATTATAGTGTTATTCCTCTTCTTCAACTCTAGAAACCAAAGCTTATCATCCAGACACCTCCTACATTACCATAATTCAAACACACATAAACATACATTACCATAATTCAACCTTCACAATCTAAAGCATGTGAAGTATCAAGACATGAACATCATATCTTTGCATACCCAGAGTCAAGCAATTCCTACTTCCATAAGTGCAAGTCATGGAGCCAAAAGAATCTACAAGAAAAGTGTGAAATCAATAAACTGATTCCAAATTTCTATCAGGGGTATTTGATGATTTAAATTATGATTCTATACTCAATTTTTTTTCAAACTCATCTTTTAACAAAAAATAACAAAGGCGACAAGAAAGAGGGGAAGGAATTGAACATATACCTTGCTAGCCCCAACCCTAGCAGGGGTGGAGGGTTTCAATTCTCTTGAAATCGAGAAGAACAGTTCACCGGAATCGTACGATGTCGTTTTCCTATGATACAGATCATCATCTTGTGTGTAAGAAGAAGATAAGATTGAATCATCATTACCATTACCATTACCATCATTATAATCATTCTTCTTCTGCTGCTGCTGCTGATGATGATTACTAAAGCTCTTGACCGACCTCAGCTTCCCTGAAAACTCCACACTACCCTTATCATTGCCGTAATCCGCCGCCGTGCTCCGCTTCAACGTCCCACCGGTACATACTCCTCCCATTTTAAACACCCAAAATTGAAAGATCCGTTTAATTGTGTTCACCCAGATAATCTAACAAACCAAATCCATAGCTCACAACAATTGACGAAAAGGAATGAATCAGAAGCCATATAAAGAAAAGAAGATGCGAATCAGGATCCGTGAGTATGAGACTATGATTGCAAGTGGGAAGACGATAGAGAAACGCGTTGATTTAGGTGTTTCTTGCTTGCAGATTGGGGAAATGGGATCTAGTTGTTGTGAAAATGAGATTGATGAAAAGGAAGTTGAAGAAGCAAGAACGAAAAGGGTAAATTGGAAGAAGAGTGGATCAGAATTCAGAAAAGAGGGGAGTAGGGTTTGACCGTGGTTTAGATGAAGAAAGTCGTCTGCTTTCCAGAGATTTTGCCGGTGGTGGGTTCATGTCACTGTCAACTTCCTCTTATCCCCTCTCTGTAACCATTTGCATTTATAATTTTTTTTTATAAGAAGGAATTGTTTGTTTATCTTTTAATAATTTTATTAAAATGTAATATTTGAATTATTAAGAGATAAATTTTGTTTGATAAAAAAAAATCTGTTTTTTAATGGTTCTAAAATTCTTTGAATAGTTTTGTATCCTAGATCTCCCTTAACTATTAAAAGCTCTAATTTCAATGTATATAATTACCAAACAATTATATTTCATTTTGCACTATATCATGAGAGCCTCTTATTCATTCTGACCACTTAATCATTCTACACCAAACCATTCAGCAATTACCAAACAGCCCCTTATCTTATCCGGTAAAAAATGGTGACTGATATTCGGTTAGTGTTTACTGGTTTTACAAACATTCATGTATGCCATTTTGACTGCAGATAATTTTTACCCGATAAAGTAATTGAAGGTGATAACTTTTATCTGATAAATATTTTTACCCGATAAAATAATTCAAGTCATGATATCAATCAAACTGATGTAAACAAAACCATACACAACTAAACCTTAATTGTGCTTAAATTTTCATATGGAGACCAAACCAGTTACAATCGTAATCAGAAATTTACGAGATTTTGATGGAATTATGTGATTAAATTCAAAAATCAAGTTGAAACAAAAGTATGCATTAAATGCATTTGGATGAATGTTGACAAAACGTAACAAAGCATTTATGTGATTCACAGGTTTCGTAGACAAATGAAAAATGAGACAAAAGAGATCAATTTTTTCCACTTTTTCTTCTTTGACTCTTTGAATTAGCAAATGGGAAACTTGGACTTATCATTTGTTCACAGGACAAACCAAGTGTATTAAGGTTGGACTTTTTGGATATTTTTTTATTATATTACTAGTTGTGTATTCGCGCAATGTGATGGGAGTCGTGAATTGTAACGATTTTGATGTTTCATTGGTTTTATTAGAGAATATTTAACGATGATATAAGTTATCCTTGGTTTTTACATATTAATACAATTTGAAATAAATAAGAGTTACGGTTCCAATTACAGTCTATCGATGGAAAAAATTGTAAGACAGTTTAAAATCCAATATATTTAAAATCCAACATATTTAAACGACTCCACAAATGTGTTTGATTTACACCAAGAACAAGAATCAAGAGATCGAGAGCAAGACTGAGAGTTCTAGAGTAATTGAATGGGAGATGAATTGAAGAACTTTTAATAATTAATGGTGAATATCAGTTTGAATCTCACATTGGGGGATGAGGAGAAGACATAGAGGTATGGGAAGGTGAAAACATAAGTGAAATGTGTGAAAAATATCTTGGAAATATGAAGAAAAAAAAAAGTAATAATGTGCATTGGTAACTTATACCGTATGTTATTTTAATTGTAGATTAAGAAATTTTAAGACTCAATGTATAAAGTAGTAGTACTTAATGCATTATGAATTGTTTTTAAGACTTTTAAGACTTTGTGCATAAATGTATAGTACTTTGTGCATTAAAAATTATTTTTAAGACTTTTGATAAATCTGATTTATAAGATAGTATAGACATAGTATTTAATGAAAAAAAATTAATTTTTTTATTAAATATCAGTTATTGTTTATATTAATTTTAAAATTTGAAATCATAAATCAACGTTACTTTGTTTACTTCTTAATAATTCTATTAATAGACAAAAAGAATTTAGTAAATAACAAGGGTCCAAAAATATACTAACAAATTACATTGTAGAAAAAAATCAAAATAAAATTTAACTAGGCAATCGTTATATGTTATTGTTTACTGTCTATCTAATATATTTTATCTGGTACCAATGTATAATGTTATTGGCTATTACTATTTCTACATGCTTGACTATTTTCATACTTCAACAATTCAACGAATAACAACTTTAAGGTAATGTGTTTGCTATTACTATTTACTTATGTTTTTTGCGTAATAGCTTTTACATATGATATTGTACTATTGTTTGACGATCTATTTATTGTTTTGTGATTAATCAATAAATTTTCATACTAAATATATTCAGTAATGCATCTTATATATAAGTTCTATAAACTTTTAATCTTAACATCTTATTTTAGTGGAGTAAGAAAAGAAGGAAAAAGAAATTCAAATTATTTTCATCAATTATTTGATTTTTCTTCTCTTTTTTTAGATTCGGCTACACACTAAAAGATTCTATTTGAGTCCTCAAACAACAATTCGTTTCTCTGCTTGTCCATAAATCCTTAATAATCATTCTCTATCATTGATCTCTCATTAACTCTCTCGATTACTTTCTCCACATGCGTTCTCTTTTTGTATCAAAATAACACATATTTCTTATTATAACCTAAGAAAATCATTACCTTTTAAAAAACTTACCAATTATAGGAGATGGTTAAACTCATATCTTTATTTTAGGACTTCAAACCCATCTTTTTTTTCATTAACCTGCATATCCAACCCGCTATGCGAGCCGACTAATTCCAGAGCGACCACCTACTTTGTAGATAGCCCGGAATCACCGCATTTGAACCTCCGTAGCCACAAGGGGATTTTTATTCTTCATTGGGTTTGAACCTGATACTTTTAGCCTTTGGAGTTAAGCTCAAACCAATCAAGCACCACCCTTATGGTTAAAACCGATAAAAGACCATCTTTTTTTAATACACTATACTATTGGTTGATGATTATCTAATAAGCAGTATGTTAATTTTAAATACTTTCTTATCTATAATAAAGAAAAATAAGATTTCTTTGCTCCATGAATTATTTGCATTTCTTCTATTCCAATTTTATTACTAATGAAAAACATTTATTGAGTTTTTTTGTACTTATCGAGGGCTCCTAATTTTACATAAGTCCAGGCCTATAAAATGTCAGGAATGGCCAACTTCATGGTTTTAATCTAAATTATCTTAAAACATAATTAAATTTTTAGTCATAAAATTATGTAAAAAAAACAAGTATTTTATTCTCTTTCATTTGATACTGAATTTTTGTGAACTATTCAATAGGGATTTCAATATTTCGAGCACGAACATATTCACATGCAAGTATGCTCATACTAAATCTTGACTATACTATAAATCTTTTACGTATTCTTAAAATCTTCTAAACTTCAAATTTACAACTTATCACTATATATATATATATATATATATATATATATATATATAACTTTTTATGTTATGCGTTTGAAGTTCATAAAATTAAACGATAAGCACATTTATATCCCACAACTTATTTGGTTAAGTCATATAAACGCCACAAGATATTTCCAGAAGGTTTATGCGGTTTCATATCCCAAAAAGTAACRACGRCTAATAAAACTCATTTTATTGTAATAACCATCAAATGGTCAAACCCATGTGATTCATGATCCAAAACATACCATTGAAGGTTTATGAGGTTTCATATCCCAAAAAGTAACRACGRCTAATAAAACTCATTTTATTGTAATAACCATCAAATGGTCAAACCCATGTGATTCATGATCCAAAACATACCATTGAAGGTTTATGAGGTTTCATATCCCAAAAAGTAACAACGGCTAATAAAACTCATTTTATTGTAATAACCATCAAATGGTCAAACCCATGTGATTCATGATCCAAAACATACCATGGTTTTCGTTCAAAACGTTTCAAAATGGCTTAAAGGGTCCAAATACACTAAAAATGCAATTATGCCAATTACACAATAAACATGTGTAAAAGATTGACAAAGGTCATCCTCAAATGATATTTATCTCAAAAATACCCCAAAAGTCGAAAATGAACATTCTAGGGTTTTATAAAGTCAAATATACTAATTGCGAGTATATCAATTACTCAACATTTAATAAAAATCTTAAGCAAAACGACTGAAAACTGCTCTAAACGCATTTCTCAAAGATTTTTCAACACAAAATGCACCCAAGATACTTATAAACACATAGCCCATATACCAAAAAACATTTAGCCTAGTAGTATGTGAGTTTTTGGCCTCCTAAATGTTAAAGGTTCAAACCTCACCTTTGATGAGGAGAGTGTGTGAGCTTTTATGTTTTATTTGTTGTATATAAATATTATATACTTCAAAAAAAAACACATAACCCATATGTATTTGAAATAATCTATAGAAATATATTGATACTAAAATAATAACATTTTAACATGTATACAGTTTTATCAAAACAACTAGAAGTCACTTACCAAATCCAAGCTCCAAAGCTTCCAAAAACTTCTCTTCTACCCCCAAATCCTCACATAAGGAGAGGGAAAGGGTAGGTGATGCAAAATGATCAAACCCTAGCTGTTTTGGTGAAAATTTAAAGATCCAACCATTCAATCTTCTAACAACCTAAAAATCACCAAGCAATGCCTTAGATAACCCAAATTTCCCCCTTAGTCTACATGAACTTGGCCACGACCTTAAGGAGAGGGAAAGGGTAGGAGATGCAAAATGACCAAACGCTAGTTGTTTCGTGTGGCACGGTCGCCCAGATCTCCCCCTTTGAGTTTAGTGCTTCACACGAATTAGGCAACGACTAAGGTCACGGACTAAAGTTGTGCCTAGGTCACATGTACCCCTTTTCGTGCTAAAATGACATTTTCGATCCATAAACATGCATAGGTTACTTAAGGTAACAATATAATATATATCACTATAGAGTTTTACATATAAATTTTGGATTAGGGACAACATTTTCTTTGCCTTTATTAGTTAGAATGTTTTGCCACTTATGCCCCCTAGTTTGATCCAACCTTTTTGGTATTATCAAAGGCTTGTTGAGAACGAGGCCTCACTGACTTGCAAGTCCAATTAACAAAGCGGATAGAACTTTGTCATGTTAGGTTGATTGTATTAGTCCAATTCACAAGGAGAATGGGATTAAGCAGGCCAGATTTTCGTTTTATCCGCTTTTGTTATCCATAAGTGCAATGACACTTTCCAGAACGATAGTGCTTCAGAGCTAAAACCGAAACCGGAGGATGGAGTTCATGTTACTTAGTCGTCTACGCTTATAGTAGCCATAAATTTCATATCTTTGGGATCTACTGCTTTGTTGGAGTAGAACCGCTCCCGAAATTCAGGTGAGGAACATAGAAGATGTTGTCATTTTTAACTAGAGACAATAATCAAACTCCTAATTTGCACTATTTTTGTGTCTACGATGATCATGGTTGTTCTCACGTTGCAACAAGGTGCAGGGAAGGGTTGAATAAAAAGATGGAATCAATGGAGTAATAGATTAGAACCAAGGCATCCTAAAAACGTACATTTATGACAAACGTTGTGAGATCTCAACATCAAGTATTACATAGGTCAACATCATAACATCAAATCTCCAAATATCAAGGTATACCTTATGTTACATATATTGGCTTATAAACTGACTCGATACAAAGGCATTTCTCAATATATATATATACCGGTTCATGCATTGTGATCTCCAACCATATAAGTACATAGAAACATTTCATGAGTTTCAAAATACATGATTCATTCTTAAAAATAAAACATCAAGTATGCAATATCATAAATATATAAATCAACCGTAAAATTAATTTGCAACTGTGCAAAACATTTAGCTATGCTACCTCCAAGAGCCGGTACACATTTCAAGGCAACCAGAAAAAAACAAAATAATTTCATCACTGAATGTGTAACATAAGGATTTCTTATATATCTCCAGAGAAACTTTTGGAAGTTTTGGAGCACTAAGTTCTAACGCAATGAAGTACTCTTAACACCAAAAAAAAACTATTTCGGCATGGTTTTTGGGGGTGGCTTTCTATATTTGGAAGAAAGCTTATCCCCCCTCTTATAGTATTCTGTGTTTTTTGTAATGAAATTGTTGCCTTTCAAAAAGAGTTTCATAAACAAAAAAATAATGCGACTAAAAAATAAAAAAAATTGCTTTATTTTTATGTAATAAGTGATGAATGAAAACAGAGTGTGGATCAGATTTCTGGCTTGGATTCTCCCTGATAAGGAGAATTTAATAAAATGCGCTCAGTATAATCAGCTTCGATCATCTGGGGAAATAATCATCACTTCCAACCTCCGCCAAATATCAATAAATATAATCAAAATTAAAAGTTACATTCAATAAAATCAAATTCCTTAAATGAAAATTACTTGGAACTGAGAGATGGATCAGATTTCTGGCTTGGATTTTTCTCCAAAAAGAGAGAAAAAAAAAGAGCGCTCAATAATTTCAGATTCGATCATCTGGGGAAATAGTCATCATTTTCATCATCTCAAAATCTTTTAAACAAATCAACAAATAATACAAAACCTCTTAATCGTAATGTAGAATTATATAACCCTCCACGATGTCTAGATAAATTACAAGTAAAATCTAACCAAGAAAAACAAAGCAGGTATCTTCACATCATTAGTATTTACATTTGATGATCTTATATACACAAGAGATAGTGATGAGATGCTAAAAGAACAAAAGCCGAGTATGTAGCAGTATCAAGTTGGGCCAATCAAACAGTTTGGCAGAGACAAGCTACAGAGCAATTGGGATGTGATGAACAAGGAACCGTGTACTTTTATGACAACAATTCAAGGGGGTTGATATCCCCACCCCCTTACATCACTTTTCACCCCCTCCTCCTCTCACTCACACCCTCACAACTTTTCCTCACTCTCACCCTCACCCCCCACCCCCCTACACAATCACATCCCCCTCACATGCATCTATAGGAGGGGATGGAGTTAGAAAAACCCCAATTCAAATATAAAATTATCAAAGAATCTAATCATGCATGGAAAAAGTAGACACATTGATGTGATATTTCACTTTCTTAAAGAACTAGTTCAAAATGAAACATCAGAAAGAAGTAGCAAGCAAGATGTTTAATCTAACATGTGTTCCACAGTTAGATTATGGGAGTGCTTGTAGGTTTATTTGATAACGTTTTGATCACCCATCTAGTAAACAGGTTGTTTAATAATGTCCTGATTGTAAGACGGTCTTTAGATGTTTATTATTTTCCAAGATTTTAAGCTTTCAGTTCATGTAGATTATATTTTTTGCTGCTATTTAAAAGTCCACTTTGATGAATAATAAACATTGAGCATTCATCCCAATTGTTGTTTCCTTTGCTCTCTTAAGCAATAACATATTTTGCAGAAAGCTTCTCACCCTCTCTTATAGTATTCGGAGCTTTTTGTAATAAAATTGTTGCCTTTCAAAAAAGTTTGTAAACAAAAAATAATGTTTACCTAATAAGTGCTTAAGGTTAGGAGTCAATACTATAATTTATTTGTAGTAAATCAAAACACATGATTTTTCATTCAAAAGAGACGATTTAACAAAATTCAAAATGAAACACAATGAACAGATTAAGCAGAGAAAGGCGAACATTCAGAATGAGTAGGAGGTTTGCTATTCCATTCATGAATTAATCGGACAATTAAACAATCATCAYTATGCTCGCCAAAACATCAGTTTAGCACACACACACAATTTTTGCTATTCCATTCAAAACTCCAATTTTTGCTATTCCATTCAAAACTCCAATCATCATTAGGTTTGCTATTCCATTCAAAACTCCAATTTTTGTTTCCTTTTGCTCTCTACAGCAATTTAATCAACATAATTTGCAGAAAGCTTTTCACCCTCTCTTATAGAATAATCAGTGCTTTTTGTAATAAAATTGTTAAGACTTTCAAAATAGTTTGATAAACAAAAAATAATGCGACAAATAAATAAATTGCTATATTCTAATGTAATCAGTGGTGAATGAAAACAGAGTGTGGATCAGATTTCTGGCTTGGATTCTCCCTGATAAGGAGAATTTAATAAAATGCGCTCAGTATAATCAACTTCGATCATCTGGGGAAATAATCATCACTTCCAACTTCCATTAAATATCAATAAATATAATCAAAATTAAAAAGCTACATTCAATAAAATGAAATTCCTTAAATGAAAAATGCTTGAAACTGAGAGATGGATCAGATTTCTGGCTTGGATTTTTCTCCAAAAAGAGAAAAAAAATTGAGCGCTCAGTAATTTCAGATTCGATCATCTGGGGAAATAATCATCATTTCCATCATCTCAATCTTTTAAACAAATCAACAATTAATACAAAACCTCTTTGTGAACAGAATCGAAATGTAGAAATTATATAACCCTCCATGATGTCTAGATAAATTACAAGTACAATCTAACAGAATCAATAACACAAAGGGAGAAATTTAATATCGGGTGCTGGATTCAACACCATGGCATTGAAGTTAAGCCAAGGAGTCAAACTTCAGACCCATTAAGCAAAAAAATTATGATTACAAAGACGTTAATTTGAACTGAATCATACATTTTTACAGGAATGAGATGGTTCAAAAACAATGTTACAATTAATAGCACTCAGGATGAAAAGGACTTCTTGATAGAAGAAAAATCATAGACCTTTCGATCTCAGCACAACATCATCATCATCGTGCAGAGATTTGAAATTGACAATATATGAAACATATTTTTTGTGTAATAATCAATCTCAATCAAATCAATTATTTTATCAAATTGTAATAAGAATTTTGAAAAACATAAGAAAACGTATTTCCAAAACGTATATTGATCTGAGAAAATAATTATAGCAATCGATGTAGAGGACTTCTTCAAACTACAAGAATCAATGACTTTTCGTCCTCAAAACAAGATCGTCATCATCGTTCAGACATATGAAATAGAAACAATGATGAAGCATAACTTCCATACATAAGTTAATAATTCAAAATTGAAGCTTATTAAATTCAAATCGACAAAAAACAATATGAAATTTGTAACTTTTGGCACATGATTTTTCGTTCAAAAGAGACGATTTAACAAAATTCAAAATGAAACACAATGAACAGATTAAGCAGAGAAAGGCGAACATTCAGAATGAGTAGGAGGTTTGCTATTCCATTCATGAATTAATCGGACAATTAAACAATCATCACTATGCTCGCCAAAACATCAGTTTAGCACACACAAAAAAACCATGGTAGAAAACCGACGGTAAAACCATCAGCAAATTTGGATCAATACATCAATTTATCACAGTCCTACAAAAAGACGTGATTCAGACGACCGTCGTGAGATTGAATCCAGAATCGTCACTTGGTTCAGTAATCGACGAAATGAACGAACACAAAGAAGTGGTTTGCCATACCTGAGGGACTTTAAATCGCTAATATCTGCTCTGAACCAGAAGAACCGTGATATGACAATGGGAGGAAGAAGCTGTTTATAAAGAGGACGCCGCTGTGCCGTTGTGGTTAGGGTTTCATCGGCGCCGAGTTTAAGTTAAGCTACCGCAGCCCTATTGACCTAAAAGCCCACAATCTCTAAAGCCCATACGTAAAAATATTTCTTAAAAGAATAAAATAAAAGGTTAAATGTATAAAAGAGCAACCTACTTTCATAAAAATTTTTATTATAGCATTCTACTTTTGTTTTTCTTTATTACAGCAATGTACTTTCAAATTATTTTTTATTAAGGCATTGTACTTTAAAAAATCTACCCATAATAGCAATGAGTAACTTGTTACCTTTTAAACCGGTTAACCCTTTGACTTTTTTGCTTGTGTGGCTTTAGTGTTTGGAATAATTAAGTATTTGGATAATTTTTTGAAACAAATAAGTGCTTGGAGATTCCAAAACATGTTAAATAACTCATTGGATAATTTTTTGGAATAAATAAGTCATTGAACAATTTAAAACATGTTAAATAATTAATTGAACAATTTTTTGGAACAAATAAATCATTGAACAATCCAAAACATGTTAAATAACTTCTTGGATTTTTCTAAAACCTGTTGGATACATTCTTATGACTTGTACAACTAGTTAATGTGGTAAAATAGTGAAAAAATCCGAAAAAACCCAATGAACATTCATATTTTGAACGATTAAATCCCTAAATATTTTTTGAACCAAAAAATATTTAGATCTATAAAATTAAACAAATATAACAAAAAAATAATTACATTTACAAAAAGAATAATTACATTTAAAAAAGATTTTTGATAAATTTTATTTTAATTAAAATAAAAATATATTTAGTCAAT